GATGGAACCGACACACCGCATTGATGCTTCCAAATAAGAGTCAAGAAATATTAGTGAGCATTTGCACAGTTGTTTAAGAGTGTCCATAGCCAAGACAACCTGGTTAACCTAGCAGTGTTTTCCATGGTGGAAGAAACCAGAACTCCAGGATAATGACGTGTACAAGCACTGAGAGAACATGCAAACTTCACATAAAAGGGCCCTGGCCATATTGAAACTGCTTCCCAACTTACATTATGTCACATTTTCAAATATAATAATGCATGAAATCTCTTTCTGTTTCTTTGTTTCTTTGTCCATAAACTCCTAAAAATCCATAAAATCTACTACCCTTTCAAAAAAACTTTTTGTGACATTAAGTACAAGCCAAACAAAACCGTAGCATGAGCATGTACTAGTTACAAAACTTCTAGGGATTTGCATGTAACAGACAGTGCTTAAATAAGCCACAGAGTGTGCAGAAGACGTCAATAATGACATCTGCAGAAAAGACCATTGCTGCTAACTTTCCCTCAATTCAGGATTTGTACAAATCCAGAATCAGGAAACGAACAGGCAATATCACTGCAGACCCATCACACCCCACACAAAACCTGTTCTAACGCCCCTCCTCTGGTAGGCGCTACAGAGCACTGTACGACTAAACAAGCAGACATTTGTACAGTATCTTTCCACAGTCCGTCACTCTGATGAACACTTAGAATGGTCACATAGTGTCCGTACATAAACATCCACCATACCTGCTGCTGGATGAAAGCATACTGTATATACTGTTTTTGTTTGTCTTTTATATCCATTCATCATCATACATACCTATATAAGATATTTTTGTTTGAATCACAAACTCCACCATTTATGTAAAAAATATTCAATAATTATTTGAGTGAAATCAACCACCCAAACAACTAAAATAATTTAGGTGAGTAAACAACAATATTTTTAGACTGAATATATGTACAATCTGGTTCATGCTGTTTTGATTTCAGAACCTACATTTAGGTATCCAATTAGCATGAAGATCAAAGACATCAAAACACAGCCAACCTAGAGATAAATGTAGGTTTTACACGTGACTATAATACTGTGATGATAAATCCAACTTTAATGACTCTGTATTTTTATCAGAAAACAAAAACCTAACTGCCTATCGTCACAACATTTGTCAGCATGATTCATAAGTAGGCTTATTCACGTCGTACTCAGATCACACCTATATTTAAACTTCTCTTTGATTTCATCTGCAAACGCTGAAAGTATATCTTGAATAGTTGTGACTTTAATGTGTTGACAAAATCTGGCCATAGACAGACAGAAAGCATTCAAAATGTCTTTTATGGAGTTTATGTTATAGTAGGTTTCACACACACACATACAGACAACACCAGCTATGACATTGCTGCCGGTCAAACAGACATTAGGTTTACCTTAATGGTATCCAAGCAACCATGTTCCTCAGCAAGGACAGTGACAATGTCATCCATGCAACCTAAGGAGGACAAACAACATCGCCACTTAAGCCTAAACGAGACTAGAGGCACAATTTTTTCTGTGCTCTGAATAACCCAGACGACCTTTGTACTCACCCAGGGTTAAAATGAATTTCAGCCTCTCGCTTATATCAATATTCTGCAGGAGTCTTCTGCCCTGCAATTGATTCGATTTTAAGATGGAATTTCTAAACAAAAATCCAAAATCTTGCATGAATGTTTATTAAGAATTCTTACCGCACACAATTCAAAGAGCAAAATGCCGAGCGACCAGACATCAGACTTTGGTCCCGAGGGCAGAGGAGCTTCATCACGGGAAGGGTCACTGGGGTGGAAGGAGCCCTGAGCGATCACCTCTGGAGCAAGGTATGATGGGTACCTGAGGCAAAAATGACAGAGCAGATAAGTATTGCACTTTTATAAGCCTCAGAATAAGACAAATTATAAACAGCAAGTTAATTAAGGCTTTAAACCCCACAGGGCATTTGCTGAATTTCTGTTTTATATCTAATATGACATCTTCATTATTACTCTATGTAAAGTGTTGTTATTGTTCTTGTTAATAAATGATGTCCAAACAGCTGTTCCTCAAAGCGAAAGCTGTTTGTCAGTTGCATTTATTGAACTTTCAACGCCAAATGTTTCATGAAAGTCACAGGAATGTGCCATCATTTCTCTTCTCAGTCTGCAAAAGGATATTACACAGATACTTGGTAGAACATGAAGACCTTTGGATTGTGATCAAAGCCCAAAGATCTGTTACAGTTCCTTAATCAGGATGCCCTAAAAGCTGGTTTCTGTGAAAAAGGATATGAGCCAATTATGCATCATTTTTACGGTCAATTGCCTGTTTTTTGTTGAGTAACAGAAACCAGATATGCGTGAAGACTTGACCCTTTCCACTGAGCTAACTGAAGGAAAAAAAGAGAAGAAAAGGACATACCCAATGGGAAAATCCACATCTGCCCCGTGATCAGTCATGTGATAAAGGCCGAACTTTGCCAGCTTGACGTTCCCCTGCAAAGACAAGCTCGACATTAGAGTGCAAGACCTTTTTTTTCCAATTTCTTTAAAACTAGACAGTAACTCAGGCTAGCATAAACCTGATGACTTTGATAGAAACGGTACCTTGCAGTCCATGAGGACATTGTTTGGGCCGAGGGCTCGGTGCACCAAACCATTTTTGTTCATAAACTCCAGGCCTTCAAGAACCTCATAGGCTATTTGCAGCACCTTTTCTGCACTAGCACAAACAGAAACCTTTTTTATTGTTAATGCGCTGAAAAGTGTACATCACATAAAAAACCTTATGAACAATAAGGTTTAAAGGGAACTGTTCAAAAGTGAAAGTAAAGAAAGGTAAAATAACAATGAATCATTCGCATCAGTCACATTCACATTTTTTGTGTATTGCTGTCTGGTTAGTTTTGGTTGTTTTACCTGGGTGCGTTTTCTGGTTTTTGGAAAATGCTTAAACAGTTCTCATAGTGTTCAGCAACAACGATCAGCCGTTCTGAAGAGCAAGAAAAAAAAGATAATGATTATTAAAACCAGCAATAGGGTCACTATTGATAATACACCTGGACTAATTCGAAATCTAGCAAGAAGGATAAAAGGTTGAGATACAAATACATTCAAGACTTTTGCTGTCGGAAAGGCAAATTTCAGAAAGAAAAACAAAAAACTTCTGGATTTGTATTTTCCAAATGTTCACAACCATTATGTAAGGATGGTATTTGAAGGACTCCTTAATGACATACTATGTAGTACATGTCATGTTTCCCACTTGTAAATACATAGATATACATTCAGTGGCCACTTTGTTAGGTACAACTAATTAGAAAAATCACATAGCAGCAAATCAACACATTTAAGCATCAAGCCAATCTACTGAAGTTCAAACTGAGCGTCAGAATGGGGTAGAAAGGTGACCTCAGTGACTTTGAACATGACAATGGTTGTTGGTGCCAGATGGGCTGGTTTGAGTGAGTGGCAATTCTCTGGGAGAAAATTCTTTGTTGATGTCAGAAGTCAGAGAACAAAACTCTAATAATGACTTGGAGCATCGCTGAATATGCAACATGTGGAACCTTGAAGCAGATGGGCTTACAGCAGCAGAAAACACCAGGTGCTAATCCTGTCAGCAAAGAACAGGAAACAGGCTACAGTTTGCACAGGATAAGCAAAACTGGAAACAAGAAAACTGGAAAAACGCTGCCTGATCTGATGAGTCTCAACCTTCAGATGGCAGGCTCAAAATCTGACATAAACAACATGAAAGCATGGATCCATCCTGCCTTGTATCAACAGTTCTGCCTGGCTGGTGTATTGGTGCTGGTGTGGGTTATATTTCCTTGGCACACTTTGAACCCCTTTGATTACAGCAGAGTCATGTGCTTTATAGGTATTCCCAAAATCCATAAATCATAGCAAACATGTATCCAACACAAGCGTGCCATTAAACATGTTATGTGTCACCACTTTAGTAAGTTCTGTACTGAAAGCCCAAATTAATAGCTTCAATTTAGATAAGTTGTTAAAGTGCTTAATATGAAATGTGATGACAGGTTACACATTTTTATTTTAGCACTACAAGAGACAAGACAGAAAGCCATACCGTGCTTCCCTCTGGAAATGTCCACATACTGGCAGAGTCTGGGGTGAGTGATGGTTTTGAGAATTTGGAAACGTCCCAGGATTTTGATGGAGTTGGGAGTCAGAGGGAGTCCATTGCTTCCACAGACATCATGTGGAAGAGCTGAGGCAAAGAAGGTAAAGGCTCCTAGCTGGGCGTCTTTAAGGGAGCGCATTGTGCCACTGGCTTGAAAAACAGATAAAGGGAAACAGCAAGGGGAAATTATGCGTAAAACATGAATGAAAGAAACATTAATCAATACGGTGATGTGGTATATTATCCAACTTCACCCTTAATGTAATTCAACACAAAACTGAGGTAAAGCCCATGATTGGAGCAAAAGGGTTAACACTGACTTTGTTATTGCAACACACTTACACCAGTTAGTTAACAGAAACATCGTTTCGGAAGCAAAAGACAGAGTGCGAGAGGGCAACGATGCTACTGAATGTATGAAGTTATGAAAATAGCTGTTATGTCAGATGTGGAGCCGTCGTTTAGTATGCATTACCTCAAAAAATGCGTCCTCTCTAAAGACGAAGCTGCATAACCATGTAAACGAGTAACCTGAAATTATTATTGAAATGAATTATTTTTCCTGTTTCTGCGACGCGATGAAAACAGCTGAGCGAACGTGATCGACGACGTTTATTTCGTGCGACGGGGGGGGGGGGTGCGCACAGACAATACTTTGCACGAGCGAGACAACGGTGTTAAAATTTCATCAATGAAAAAAAAAAGACAGGAAAATCACTGAAGAGTAGTTTTATATGTACTTTTCCTGTTTGTGGTCTATTTTTTTTAATCTGTTAATTATACACAGGCAATTGCCGAGACAACTTTAAGGCTTCCCTAATGTCCGAGCCATAGAACATATGGCTAGCGACAGCAAACGGCTACCTGCACCTGCTTCCTATCCGTATGCTGCTGCGATCTACACAGTGGGGCCTGAACTGGCGAATCTGCGGCTGCCTGTTTGCTAGCTCCGTTAGCAAGGAGGGATAGCAGCTGTCACGCTCCCCAGTTGAAATCGTGCTGGGTTTGCTGCCGCTCAGAGTTCATGTAAGTTTAAAAAGGCTCTGTGCTATATTTTCTGTTTCAACCCACCATTGTTGTATTTTTTATTGTCAATGATGTCTAACCCGCGCTTATACTAAGTAGCTTAACTACACGAGAGCTAGCCTAAAGTGGAGTTTATTCCCAAGTTGGTCGAGAAAACTGGAGCTGAACCGGCTAATATTGTAGCTTACCTCCTAACTGATGCAACGTTAGCTCATGTTAAGCGCACAATAGTGAGCTGTCACGAATACACAGTTAATCCAAATATAGGAATAAACACACCAAAGTGTTTTAACATTTTCATTTTGTTGTAATGCTGGTGACCTTTACTGTTCTAACACGGCAGCCATGGTTTTATTTTCATTATTTTACCTTTTTCTTAAATCTGTAAAGTGAATTTAACCATACATACATACATACATACATACATACATACATACATACATACATACATACATACAAATAGTGGGATTAAAAAAATCTTCACAATAAGAAAAATAATTTTTGAGTTATCATATTAAACCCTTAAATGTATGGGACATTTGAGATATATGGGACTTTTGAAATTCAGATCATTGCTTGTATTACATCGTTATTTTCTGTAGCATATTAATAGTAACAAAACCAAAGCAATACAGGATTAGTTTATGATCATGTTACAATGTAATGGTCTTGATTTTGATTGGTTTTGTAATTCTTGAATATTAATGTGAGCTAAATTTACTCTTAGCCTATCACAGTTTGCCGGCCTTTATCATACCCATGCTTAGACAACTGCTGCAGGATAACTGTCATTGTTCACATACTTTCATGCATACTTTTCTTTTATGTGAAAGGTTTAAAATGTGCATCTGTGAATGTTCTCGAGGGCAAATTTAACACATTGTTGTAGTCATGAAACTGGGGTATTACAACAAATACATTTATCACCTGATGTACGCTGGCCCAAAGACACATTTTCCCCAGAATTTAAGCCATTTAGTCAATTAAGAATTGGAAAGTCTAGAACCCCCATATGTTTTCTGTTATTATTCATATTCATTTGTATCTGGGTCTAGCCACTGGGAATTAAGCTGGCAGAAATCTTTGTTACGTGCTCAGCTCAGTGGGACCCCAACGCGCATGCTCTATGAGCCAAAATTACAGAAATGTGGAGAACATCTGGGTACCTCATGGAGGAAGCTTGGATGCCTTTTTGGATCACTGAGCAACTTTTATTCAAGTTTAAGAACCGTGAACTGTGTTGTCTCTGGTATCCAGTTCTCATTTAGGCCTGTATGATACAGAAAAATATCTTATAACTATCATTTTTTTCATATCAGTTGTATATTAATGTGTAAATATGTAAAATTTAACAAACTTTTAAATATAAACAAAAGAAAACATAACAAAAGACATATTCACTCTGTTGTAATCCACTTTGTCTCCCACAAAGGATTGCAGTAGTGTCCCAATGAAGTGGGAAGTGAGGCTCATGCATGGATCAGATATGTGACTTAACTACAAATTTGATGTGGTAGTGAAATATGACACCGTTGTCTCTCTACACTCTATGTACAGCTGGGAAAGTGTCGCTTGAAAGAGATGTTATGTCCATGAATTTGGACGTTGGACCCAGTTAGCTGCTTAAATCTGATGTTTTTAAATATCCTTACTGACATCATGTCTTGTCATGGCGTTATCTGCCTTTGTGGGAGCATGGTTTTGACACAGTTTGCAGTGCACCCAGTTCTGCTTCTTTTTCAGACTTTTAATGGCCAAAATATCTCCACACTATCAAGTTACTTTGACATTTTAGCCATGTCGTCTTGCTTTCAAATCAAATCAAATCACTTTTATTGTCACATCACATGTGCAGGTACATTGGCACAGCACATGTGAGTGAAATTCTTGTGTGCAAGCTTCACAAGCAACAGAGTTGTGCAAAATACAAAATGCTTTGAACCTCTGGCTGTGTCCATTGGGTTGTCACTCGAGTTTTCCTTAATGTTATCTCCCTCATGCTTAATTTATGGTGCTGCGATTATGTCCGTTTGTGTACATATTTTCTTACGGAAAGCCAGTAGAGAAGGGCTTTCAACCAATGCAAATGTGCTCAGTGCCGTCAATTGAATGCTGAGTGGTTGACAAGTCTGCAGGAACAGGCGAGGGAGTGACACTGTCTAAGACAGCATGAAAACTAAAGACAGTGGCTGGAGTGGACATTTTTCATTGTCTTTAACACTCTGTTTGTCTTCAGCTCTGGCTCAAGGACCAACAACACGAACAAGAGCAGGCTATAGACTAGTTGTACCACATATTTTCGACACTGCACCATTTGACAACAGATGCTCTCTGCAGGTAAATGAACAGCCCGTAGCTGCATACGGACTGCCAACGTAGTAACACTGCTGGACCATAATTTCTTTTTCACACTCCTAACATACTGGTGTGCACAACTCCAGTAGCCTAAACATTACATGTGCTGCTGCGAGGAGCTTCTCCTAATATGACATCGCTCTAACTCTATTCCAGCCACACCATTGCTGTTCTCACTGGCATTGGCTTTTTGCGTCGTCTGTCAAATTATAGAATGAGTTCTGTTGACTATTTATTGACCATGTCCCATATTGCTATTGAGAAAAGTTATTTCACAATTTTCTATTTTTATCCTTTTATCGCTTAGGCCTGTTCAACTTAATACATCCATGGTGGAAATACAGCCTAATCAGATGACACCAGGGAGCATGATGCACTCACAATATATAGACGACCTCCATTATATCTTTTCTAACAATGTGATTGTCAGTGTCCAGAGAAGCAGTTCTGTGCCAGAATGTTTCTAGTGGTGCAAAAGTTTATCTTTAAACTTTTCTGCGAATGTTGCTCCAACTTGTGATGCACTGATGCATCGTGAAATGTAGTGTTAGGGCATTTGCAATGTCAGAAGAGCAGTTTTGGGTGACTCTGGTTTCTAAGTTAGAGTTTTTAAAAAGTCGCTTAAAGTAGCTTAAAGTTGGAGCGCTTTTGTGTTACTTCTGCCAGCCTAGATTGGTATGGCATACTTTTTTTTTTTTCCAAGATAACTTTAACCGTTTCCACACATAAACAGCAACTCGTAAATTTTTTTTTTTTTTTATTTCCACTGCTTAGAGCAATGGTCTGTGAGAAGACAAATGTCCAGATTGGTTTGCTCTGCCCTTCCAGCTGCAGTGCGTGGAGAATTTACATTACTGTGGACATCATATCTTAGCCATGCCACAATAAAAGCCACTTAGTGTACTCCTAGTGCCAGTCCCAAGCTCAGATAATTGGAAAGGGTTGAGTCAGGAAGGGGTGATAAAGGGCACCATTAGAAATGAGCGTATATATTTCTAATCATGTCCTTTATTATGATAATAATAATAATGTATATAAACTATACATTATTATTATTTTTTATAAAGGGAAAGATTAGAAATGAGTATATCTGAGGGACAACTCAACATCACCCACTGTCTCAGATCTTTCTTTTAAAGGGACATTTTCATAAAATCATCCAATATAAAAGAAAATGCTGTTCTGGAATAAACCATCAAATTTGTCCATATTTTAGTAAATGAGATTCATTCTAAACTGACAGGTTTGTGCAATCTGCATATCATCTGCATACTGCCACACCTCGATTACTCTATATAAGGAAAGTTGTTTGCCTCCAGGTATAGTGGAGAAACTGGTCATGATATTGCAAGATAGAAACCTGCACCTATAAGGCAGGAAAAAGTCAGATTTAAGAAACTCAGGCTGAAATAATGGAGCTTCTGAATATTGCAGCACTCAGTGTGGCTTAAGTGAGAAAAAGTTTGGGCATCAAATATGATATAAAAAAAAGACTAGCACACTACAAGAACACAATATCATATTTGGCATAATACCAAGAAAGTAAACATAGTACACGTATTGTCTGATTGATGTTGTATCCAAATAGATTCATATCACATACGCAGGGGAATGATGAAATTAACATAAACACTCGTACGAATGATTTATGTACAGATTTTTGTGTACCCATTGTTAGTAAATGGGGACCAATGGATCTGCATTGATTTAAAAACCAATAGTGTGAGAGAATACACAGAATTTTAATTTTCTTTATGTAATCAGTTAATCAGTCAGTCTTTTTTAATTATCTCATAAGGTGTAAAGCTTTTGACAAAATGTATATTTGAAAATGCATAATCTGCTATAGGGCTGCACGATTTTGCATAAAATGAGAATCACGATTTTTTGGCTTAGAATTGAGATCACGATTTTCTTTTCCAGTATAAATATTTATTGCACTTATTAACTGCACATCAACTTCGTAACAGTTGAGACTGAACATAAAAACAATAAATAAACATAAAAACAATAAATAAACATAAAAACAACAAATGTCTCACATTTTGTCGTTGCCGCAAAATGTTGTACTGCTTGTAATTCCGTCTCCACCGTTGCTCGACACTGCGTGTATAGAGCAGGTAGTGCAACAATAGAAAATAGTTGCAGGACGGCACTGTGTAGCGTTTGTCTAGGGTGTTGATCATTTTCCTAAATCCCTCGTTTTGAACAGTGTTGATGGGACGGATTTTCTCCTGTCACTTTCTTGGCCTTTACAGCTTCCTCATCTCTCAGGTGCTCTCCGTTGTTTTTTCCATGCCAGCTGACTTCTGTATCACGTGGTATAAGACTCCGCCTTTGTCATTTGTTGAGCAGGAAGAGTGAGCGCTTGTTTTCATGCAGCTTATGTCCCGGATCAAAATGCGGTACAATTGTCATCTTTTTTTTTTTTTAGATCGTTGTCACTTGGAAATGAGAACGCACATAAGTATGAATTGAGATCGTGATTTTTCTAACGACTAATTGTGCAGCCCTAATCTGATATAATATACAATGATTGAAGCATTGACAATAGTGGAAAGCCTTAGTATTTCTGTATTGCCATGCTTTCAGTTGATCTCTTCTTCTGGGCAAAATTCATTTCAAACTTTCTCACAATACAATTATTGCCGAGATTTTTTGTGTTTAAAAAAATACATAGAAATCACTATTTAGGGCAAATATGAGGAAGATGATTGCATTTGTCTTCATAACCAGTAGCTGCATCTGGTGCTAAAGAGTTTTACATCTTCATGGTGTCTTTTATTCTAAAATCTGTAGGGCCTTCCAGTTCCTTCAGATGGTGCTGCCACACTGCACTCTTCTTTTAATCACAATGTTCAGGTTGGCAGACAGGTAAGGAAGTATCCTCCCACAGTCAATTTCAACTGTGGGAATGAACCATGAAAAGAGGAAATGTTTGTATCCATACTGGTGTGCTCACACACCAACACCATACCACAGAAAAATGGTGGTTAAATGATAGATTTACATATGTGATTCAAACCGCCTGTGCTGCCTGTGTCTGTGCAGTAATAGCTTTGATATTTTCATTTAAGAGTGGGTGTACAAGCAATATGTGCATCTTTAATAAGATACAAGTGCACATAGCTGGAAGTGCTTGTAACTTGTTAAATACATGTATTTGCGAAACAGAAGGAGAATTGAAGCTTTTGTAATTATGTCAGGTGGATAAGTGAGACTGCGTTGCAGGTAATAGCTCACTTCACTCTTTTTCTTTTTTGTTTTTTTTTTCTAAATCGATAACGCATTTCAGTGTAATATCCGTCGCTCCAGCGCCTTGATGCTGCATGCGGTACCTCTGCCTCAGGATACATTTTCAGAGGTTATCCAAATGAGATCTGCCTTTTTGTGGCTCTTGTTATTACTCTACCACTGGTCCTGTTTAAATCAATTCAGTTTCTCAAAAAAACAACGCTTTGATCCTTGATTTTATCAACTCCAGCTTTTTAGTGTTTCTAATTTCCTCATCCCCCAACATTTTGTTTTCATCCTGGGCCAGCTGTTGTTTTCCAGTGCCTCCCTGTAATATGTGTAAGACGTTTTCTTCTTCATGCCTCAGCCTTGTAAAAATCCTTCTTTTCCTCTTTCCTCAAGAAGTAATTTGCCAAGCGCAACATTATAAAGGAACATTAGGATAAACAAGCTTAGTATCATTTTATCCAGTCTGGCTTGGAACGTGTCAAGTATTTATTACTTGTTTCTCTCTCTCGGTCAGCATACCTTGTGGATAGAGCTCAAAGACTGACACTCTAGACAACAGAGTAAAAAGCCCATCAAAATCACATTAGGACTTGGTTTATACTCAGTGACGCTGTACTTTATAGAAAACATGTGAAAGTGATTGTTCTTTTTGACATATTGCTATCAGCACATTATATAAGATTTATGCATTATTTATAATTATTAATAAACATGTTCTAACTCTGCCACAGCATTATATTATTACACAGAAAGTACAATGGAGTGCCCTTTTGTCCTGCGCAGAAGATCTGCGGCACAAACCACCTTTGAAATTGCAATGTTCTGTTTTTGTTGAGACTGTCTGAGACCTGTTGACTTAACTCTGTGGTCATTTTGGAAGCTGTAGTTTGCGGTAAAGTTGTACTGGAAAGCAAACCAGTAATTCAAACAGGTCTTTGTTGATGTTTAGCATGGTACTACTACTACTTTAAGGGTGTACTCACACTAGACACTTTTGATTTGCTCCCTGCCTAAGCATCAATGTCCCCTTGTACCACTCCAATACTGGCTTGTGCTATATTTGCCATTAATCTGTGCCTGATTGCACTTCAGTTTATCTTTGTTTGTTTTCATACTCCATACATACTCCTGTTCAGTACCTTTAAATTGAGCTCTGGTTTGTTTTTCTCCTTTGTGCAGTTCATATTTTGTAAGGTGCACTCTATATTTGCAATCGGACCAAAGCAATATCCCCAGACTTTTTGGGCGAAGTGGTCTTAGCTGAGTTCCAAACAAACTCCAGAGTGGTTCATTTAAGATGAAATTGTGATTCAACCTTAAGCCAAACCAACTACCAGGTGTATGTTACAGACTTGAGCTAAACGCCTTTCCATAACTATGTATGCTTTGCATTTGGGGTGGCTGTGACTCAGGAGTTGGAGCAGGTGATTTACTTATTGCAAGGTTGATGGTTCAATCTCTGGCTGCTCCAGTTTGCCCAGAGTTTTCTTGCACGGTGCATTCACTGGCGTTTAAATGTGTGTGAATGTGTTCCTGAATGGGTAAATGAGACATGTCGTGTAAAGCACTTGGAGTGGGGGTGCTATGTAAGAATCAGTCCATTAACCATTGGGAGATGCAGCAAAGTACCATAAACCGCTTATTTGTTTTGAAAAGTGCTATACAATTAAAGTTTTTTGCCCTGTCCCAGTGTTGTCAATAAGTGGGCTGAACAACCTTATGTGGTTTGTAGAAATGCAGGAAAATTGGTTTTCTTTGAGTTTACTTGCAGTTTCTTCTTTGTGAAAAGAAACCAAGGCACTTAAAACAGTTAAGTGTACAAATATATCAACTGATTGAGAGCAGAGTAAATGAACTATAGGTGTGCAAACTCTTCCCTCTTTCATACATTTATGCTTTTGAGAATTGCACTTGCACAACGCAGTGAGATCCATTATTTTATGACATTTTGCAGCCTAATTAAAGCAGTTTTTGGAAGTAGTGGCACGCTGTCCTGTCCTGTCCTTATGGGTATGGCTAGCAGGACACTACATGCGTCTCAGGGCCAAGTTACACTTGTCAAACAAACTGGAATTTAGGAGTCAAATGTGCTCAGTCACAGTGTTGTGAGTACACCGTGATATACCTGTATTCTTACTTTGACCCACTAACTTTTATAGTGTGAACAATGTTGGAGTGGTTAACACATCTGCCGAACATGCAAAAGACCCCTGATTTTAGACCAGAAGGAGGCAGAAACCCAGCCTCGGGGTGTCTCAAGCTAGTGTACTCACAGAGTTGGTTTCAAGCCTGGATAAAAGGGAGGGTTGACTCAGGAAAGGCATCCAACATAAAATCTGGCCCACATCAAATTTGAGGATCCAGCTGCTGTAGCAACCCCTTAAAAAATAAAGGAGTAATGTGTAGTAGCCAAAAGGTTGAGGTACTTGACCCTAAGTTACTCAGCAGTGCGTCCATGCAGTCTGAACCCAAGTGAAAACACTTGGGTAGAAAAAGCACAGAAAATTTTGCTTGTATGAATTGGTGTGAAGGGGTGAATAAGTCAAGTTTTATAAAGTCCTTTGAGTGCTCAGAGTAGAAAAGAGCAATATAAGAACCGTTTGTTAATCACTTCCTGCAGAGCTAACATGTATAATATTGAATTACAGCAATCTCAGGATGCTGGCTGCCCTCAGTATTCACCAGAAGTCGTCATATTGCATTTGTGTTTTTGACTGTATTCTTGTTGTTTTGTTTTTGTTTTAGGTTTTTAGTCCGCTCATTGATCAAAATGAGTCACAACCCTTTGTTGAGGCTGGAGCAGCGGGCAGCTGAGGCCGATCAGCTCATTGAGTACCTCAAACAGCAAGTCCAGCTACTGAAGGAGAAAGCCAGTAAGATACGCTCATACACTTTTGTTTAAAGAAATTTCTCAGCTACTTTACGTATGTAAGGATTTATGTTTATGTTTGTTTTACATTCAGTTTTTCCGTTATTTATTACACGTACTTGCAATAAAAAAAAATAAATAAATAAAAAAAGCTTTTAAATAGTTTCAGCTTTTTAGGGAAATATATTTCCACATTTAGCCTCTCCAACAATGATGTTCTGGGCAAACAAAAACATTGGGCACTGCCATGCCTAAATGCTAATACCAGTATTTGGGGTGGTAAATTTTTGCATACTGGTTGATAATGAAGTTTGTTTGATTTTCTAATTTGTTTAGATTGGCTACATGCAAAAAGTCCCTGCACATGCCACTCCAGTGCCATTAACCTGTAATAAATAATAAAATGTTGCATTTCTTTTTTGCATTTCTCCTTTGTTATTCTCATGAAATAAACAACGTTTTGGGTGGATGCAGATGTTTACAAGAAACGTCGAATGAGCATTACATTTTTTCTCTTCTGTTAACTCATAGGTGCTGCATTTATTTATAAGGTTTGCCATAAATGTACAGTCTCAAAACTGTGAAACTCTATGTTAATTTTGTGGGGATTTTACATTCAATTGTGTGCTGACTAGTAACAAGAATTTACTGCAGTTCTCCAGGCCAGCGTCAGAGAGGAGAAGAAACTGATGGTGGAAAATGCCAAATTAAAGAACGACATAGAGGAACTTAAAAAGCAGCTGCTGGAGAAAGAAAAGAGAAGAGGAGGTATGTTGACTTTTTGTTCCCGGCAAGGCTTCCATCACAGATTAAATGTTTGTCTTCAAAAAGATTGATGTTGTTATCCTTTATATCTAGTTTTTGAAGCAATTGTGAGCACCGCCTGACCATTTGATGTTAGTTGTTGCTCATTAGAGCGTTTGCTTGGTTTGTGCTATCAATGATAACATCTTGTGCATTCTCGCCTTAGCCTATTATAACCAGCTCTTTTTTTTTTGGGGGGGGGGTATAAAACAACCATACTGCTTCAAAAATTCCCCGTTATATTGTGGGAATAACATGTGTGTCAGCCATTGCACTTATGACATATATTGACATTGAGAGGTAAACAGCTGAGGCCATTTAATGCTTTCCAGAAAAAAGATGCAGGAATAAAAGAGGGCTGGAAGAAATAAGTAATTTATCCTTGCTCAAAAAGCTGGATATGTTTTGGAGAGTCGAAAGAATGTGTTCCAATAAACTCAAGACAATGTTTTTCCACACAGTATATATGATTGTGATGTTTAGCTTTGGGGTTTCTTGTCGATGGCTTTAAGGTGACTGAAAATGGCTCAATCAAAACGTGGATAAATATAAAGGTTATTGAAAGTCAAAGAAATTCCTCAGCTTTGGATATCTGCCTGCAGCGGAGTTATGTTTTCAGTGCCTTTTGTCTGTTTGTTTTGTTCTGTCAACGAGATTACACAAAATCTACCAAGCTAACTTTAATGAAGCTCAGTGAAGAGGTTAGGAATGACCAAAGGAAGAACGTGTTCAATCCTGATGAATTGATTGAAAATGCTCATGTGAAGAAGGATTTCAATGATAAACTCAGCATATTGCAGAAAAATAAATGTCAGCCTGAAAACCAGATTTCTAAAATTTATCATGAAATGTGAATGATATGCAGATAAATACCAAGGCGTCTAGAAAGGTTACATTTCAGGTAATCGCGCACACATTTTTTTTCTTGGTATTGATATTTCACTCAGGGATTGTATCTTATGTAATATTTTGATAGAGAAAGGGAAAATTGGTTTAAATGTGGAAAAAACCTCGAGAGGAAACTTAATGGGAATGTTAAGAGTTTTAGAGGTTGTTGCCTGTAATTCCAAGGTAAACCGGAAAGGTCCTGATCTCAGGTCCCAACATAGAATTAAGGTAATTAAAAGCATTATGGTGACGGTGGTGTGCCTGCAGACCGATGTTTGTCAGACATAGACACTGGATTTTGTAGGAATTCAAACATCAGGCGCCTGAAATGAGGGGTTACTTGTTCCTACAGAGTTATTGTCGGACATTGTTCCCCGCTTTATGGTTCCTTTTCCTTGTTTCCATCAACTTGGACACTGTGATTTTCCCATCAAAACAGTTTGCATCAGGAGAGCAATCCTCCCACTGGGTGTGTAAATAAAGCACCCCCCCTATATCATTTCATCATATTATGTTGCTGCAACCAGCTCTGTGCATGAAAAGGGTCAACCAAGAAGTTGTGTATGTGAAGTTTGAATATTCCAGTGCAGCTTTGTGTTCGTTCATTCATTCACATCGGATTTGGGAAACATGGAGTGCGTTCAGATCAGCCACAGAAAAAATGAGTCAATTATTAATCATGTACATTTTACTAATATTTTGCATCTGTTCTTTCTGTAGTGCTTGATGTTCCCATGCCATCAAGTGCCACCACTGTCGAGTGCAATTCAAAGCCCACTCCTCCTAAACCCTCTGGTCCAGCGCCTTCTGGTTCAGCACCATCTGTTGCTGCCGTCAAGGACATCTCTCCTAAAGATGAGGCTAAAAAGAAGAAGCCTGAGAAAAAAGGTAAAAGGAAAAAGATCAGCAGATGTCAAGCTGGCTCAACTATTTAAGTTGCTTTAGCTCATCTGCAGTTGCTGGACATGTGCAAGCTGCTTTGCAGCCCACCTCCACCCATCCATCCATTTTCTTTCACATGTCTAATTCAGGGGCTGGAACCTATACCAGCTGTCATAGGGCGAAAAGCCAGGTACACCTGTACAGATCACTAGTCTATCCCAGGGCTAACATAGAAAGACTGATCATATAAAAGACCCTCATATTGTTCACCCTCATATTCAAATCTATGGCCAATTTGTAATCACCATTTAACCTTACGCCATGCATAAGTGTTTGGACTGTGGGAGGAAGCTGGAGTACCTGGCGAGAACCCACGCAAGCACAGGTAGAACATAAAAACACCACATAGAAAGGCCTCAGGTGGGATTTGAACCTAGGACCTTTTGGCCGCGAGGCAAACCTGGTAACCAACAAACATCTTTCTCTATGTAAATGTCTAATATCAAGTGAAAATGAGAATTATCTGCACATGTGGTCTGTTTTTATGCCTTAATGGTTCCACAAAGCACTTTACAGTATGTTCCTTACTGGCCCATTCATGCACACACTGACACGTCAGGTACAACTGGATGCAAACCAACTTGTCAAAGGACTTTTATTACGTAGTTGGGTCTGGGATCACTCCCATTAGTGGACAACCCACTCTACCACCTGTTCCATGGCTGCCTCATCGCCACAGCCTGTTAATGGATCCAAGATTTCAGGCTCCGCAGGACAATATCCAGTGACGTTTGATTTGTTTGGAATTTGTAAACCACATATATGACAAGTCGTCTTTGTGCAATGTCACAGCTAATTGGATCTAATTTGAGCGTAATTTAATGTTAATGTTTCATTGATGTGCATCTAATTTGAGCGTAATTTAATGTTAATGTTTCATTGATGTGCATCATTTGTGTAATTTATTATGAAGTTAAACTGTTTTACGTTTATGACAAGTTTACAGTACAAAACAAGAAAATCCATGCCATAAACCTGGATTAATTAACAGTAAAACAAATATTTATTCTTGTTTCAGGAAATCTTGTTTGACCTAATTGCAAGGGCTGCAGCATACACACAGGCAAGAGTCAGCTCTGGGTTTGTTTATGAGGTTACTATTTAAAAAGACACTGACAAATTCATTGGAGCTTCTGGCTTTTCTCACATCCAGAACTGTTCATAAAAATGGTGACTTGGTCTTTACTTCATTCAAACACTTATCACTAGCTAAACTATATAAGCTCATGTGCAGCTTTGGAGGAGTTTAAGTAATGTTACATGACTGTCCTGTCATCACAGTAGAGAAACAATAACATGGTGTAAAAGCGATGAATTTAAATTAAATGCAGGTTGCAATTTCAATGCTTTAGAGCTAGTTTGGCCTTTGAGGAATGATAGAAGACTGAGATGATTTCATCACAGCACTGTGAAGGAAAGCTGCTTGACCTCTAGAAAGTAGCATTCAGTGGCACTTTTCGTAAACCAAACTTGGGTATTGATATTGTCAGTAGGTCAAAATATGTCCTCTGTAATCCTGCAAGTATGTGAAAAATATCCCCTCCCCAAAATTATTTCCGAAGTAAAGGAATTTGCAACACAGCTTTTCCAAACATCTTGGTTTTATTTTGGATGCTTACATTATTTCACTTTGCACATAGAAACAAAATGATTTCAGCCTACAGTTATCTGTTGTAGTTTTAAACTACAGGGAGTGCAGAATTAT